GTTTTGCACCTGGTGACTTAGAGGTCCCTGTGGGGATACCCAAAAAGGGTGTCTGGATCAGGAATTCACAAGGAGCACTTGGATGGATGATGATGATTTGTGGGTCGTCAGCATAGTTGAAGGTGTGGAAGAAGAGATTACCTGGAGTGATTGATGGTGAGGTAGATTTCTGAGAAATGTCTACTAAAGGCATGAAAAATTAAGAGGTGCTTTTGAGGAACAGCCAGAGGAAGGAGAAACATATAGCAAGTGGTGTTTGAGAAACCAAGACAACAGAGCATCAGTAGCATTACATGCTTCAGAGTTGAATTCTTGATTTCCTGTTCTCATTAAAACTTTTCAACTGAAAACACAGTGAGAATGTTTCCTAACCCCTAGATAATAATTATAATAATAATAGTAAACTTCTGAGATTTGTGTAGCACTTGGCACCTTATTATGAACTATAAACATTTTGTTATTTTGAAAACTTTCATGTCTTCAGACACTGTCAGAAAAATGATGAAGCCTAATATAGCTCATTTGTTGACATTGTGCCATGTTTGCTTTATCTTTGTGTGTTTTTTTGTACACAGGCATATTTCTCTCTCTTTTGCTGAGCCATTTGAGAATGCATTACAGATATCAAGACATAAATATTCAGCATCTGTGTCCTAAAAAGGAAGCCATTCTACAAAATCACAGTATAATTTTCATACTCAAATTTAATATTGAGTCAATACTATTATCTAAAACTTACTGGTAATCAGATACTCTCTGGTAATGATGTCCTATATTGTTCCATCTGGTGGCGTAGTGCCTAAGGCATTTGACTGCTAACCAGAAGGCTAGTGGTTCAAACCCACCAGCCACTCCTCAGAAGCAAGACTGGGCAATATAGTTCTGTAGCGATATCACCCCGGAAACCCTAGGAGGGGTTGTTATGAGTCAGATTTGACTCGACAACAGTGAGTTCATTTTTTCTTTTATATAGTTCCATCATCCTTCCCTTCCCCTGCACTATTATCCAATGTATGATCAAGGATTGTACATTGTACCGGTTTCTCCCATTATCTGAAAGTAGAGCATTCCTATGAAACCTTGCATAAGATGAAATGGCATAAAGTGAAGAAGCAATTACCATTAATTTACATGGGAAAATTTTTTGAGCCTTCCTTGATCCAAAAGCCAACCTACAAAGTTATACTGAATAACACATTAGGGCTAAAATAACATTAACATGGAATATAAGCAGGAATTATATGAAAAATGCATATACATAGAAATAATGTATATGTAGTAAATTGAAGAGAAACAGCTGCAGACATCCATTAATCATCGGAACATGGAATGTACGAAGTATGAATCTAGGAAAATTGGAAGTTGCCAAAAATGAAATAGAACACAGAAAGATTGATATCCTCGGCATTAGTGAGCTGAAATGGACTGGTTTTGGCATTTTGAATCAGACAACCATGTGATCTACTATGCCGGGAATGACAGTT